AAATTTACAAACATTTGCCTGATTCCTATTCACACAACAAACATTAAAAATATAAACTGAGGTTGTATCCCCCTTTTAGGGCAGAAAGGAGCCCAATAGGGGAAATAAAACTGTTTTAAAATATTTTGTTCTAAAGAATCAGGCAAAGACAACTTAATTTTGAATTAATACTATAAACAGACCCACCCATGGAGACTAAGTCCCTTGAGTATAACATGTAAACAGTCATGATCCCCACGTCATAACCATAAACAAAATTGCTGGGCATGAAGAATACACCTGTGTTCTCTGTGTGTTACCCACCCAAACAGATTAAGTCCTTCTTGCAGCTTGTATTTCTTGTACTCCTAGGCTTTTAAATCCAGAAGTCCAAGCTCATCAGGGTGTCAAAAACTTATTCTCAATTGTCTGATAAAAGCCATGTCTTCATATTATTCACTTTTAAGTGATTTGCTTCAGAAAAATGTTTTCTTATTTCAGGTTTGTGTGCAACAAGATGATTCCAAAATTAGTTAGACAGAAAAGCCTTGTAAAGGAGAAAGATAACGGAATAGTAGATCAAGTGGACACAGCCTTTGCTTTGAACGGAACCAGAGGTAAATCTTTTGACAGTGAAATATCTGGTTTATCCTGGGAGTCATTTCAGTCTTCAGCAAGTTATAGTAGCGACGAGTTCTCAAATTTCGTCGATAGGTTAGCTGAAAGAATTGTGCAAGATTCTTTTGAGACTCTTTTCCACATACAACCGGAGCCAGAACTTTGTCAGTCTGATACAGAATCGGAAACTGACGATCCGTGTATTCACGACTTTGCCAACAATATGGCTAATGACATACTTTTACAGTCTCTTGTGAGCCTTACCAATAGCTATGCTACGTATAGGAAGGAAAAGAAACGACTTTCTGATGCCAACACGTCCACAAGCAGTGATTCTGTGTCAGAGGTGGAATCAAGGACTTCCACAGATGCCGTGAGTGTTTCGAGTGTTCAGCGAAGCGTGTCTGATGATTACACTGATGCACTGGACATACCATTCCGTCAACTTGAGAATTATGCAGAGGAACTGGCAGCAAGTGTACTTCAACACTCTGTCAATGTTTACCAACGAGAACTAGACAGTGAGAAGAAGGTGAGTGTTTATGGTGAAACCTCTGTAATACCATACACAACATAGGATTCACATGATAGGATGAATTAGGCGAATTGATTTATGTTGTCATTATACAGTGGGTATTTATTTTCACTATGTCTGTGTCTACGTCTGAAGATCAATAACATGAAAGATTTAGACAACATAATTAGTTTGCTACTGGATAGCCTTGTGCTATATCTGTCAGTCAGTGCGTAACTTTGTTTGGAGTATATCTCATACACTCTGTTACTTACAATTGCCAACTTTTGTATGCAAGCACCTATGGAGATAATGTTGCATACTGAAATCTGATCTATTAACAGAGTTATTGTCCTTTGTTTACTGTTAGTCACGTTGTCTGGAGCCTATCTCATTTACTTTATAGAATGAGATGTTTGTGGGTATTTTCCTTCTTAGTTTGAAGCTATTTGGATCATTTCCTGGTACAATTTTTGGTGGGGTTACCCCATATAAACAAACAGATGTCAAGTATATAGATTCAATTCGTATTTAATTTCATTAATTCCATAGCAAACAAGAAAACTCCAAATGTTTATATACAACGACAATTGGCAAATTCTATACGTAGGTGACTGCCTCATGAGATAGCAGTGTTTGGTATACTAAAACACGGTTTGGCATAATTAAATACGGTCTTGTAGTCCGTCATTTGCAGAGTTATAGTCCTTTTTGAACCGTACATCGCTTTGTTTGGGACATATCTGATACAATTTGTTGCCTACAATTGGCAAATTTTGTATAATTTACCTGCGATTATCTTACAAAAAGCATTTGAGGGAAACACTGAACATCTGTCTGCTTTAGCTGAAATGAATTTCTCCATGTCATAAAAACTTGTTGCCATATTACAGAGGGTGTATGGCCGTCCACTATCCACTGGGAACTGGGGGTGTGGTGCATTCCGTGGTGATTGTCACCTAAAGTCCATGCTACAGTGGATGGCAGCCTCGTATGCAGGGGTACCCAACATATTCTACTACACCTTCCAGCACCCAGATCTTGATCAGGTAAAGGTTTATTGTGTTGATAAGAATCAGGCAAATGTTTGTATTGCATACCTTACATACTGTTTTTAAAATTGTTGATTCAAGATCAGGTAAATGTTTGTTGTGTGAATAGGAATCAGGCAAATGTTTGTAAATTT